GAGAATCTCCGTGGGTGGCGATGGCTCCTCTGATCCAGGCACTTCCAGGACAAGGCCACAGCCCAACAGGTCACAGCCCTGCTGTGGGAGGAGGTTTGCAGCACTGTGATCACTGCCAGCCAGGGCTGGGGCTGCTCCTCAGCACAGTGGAGATCTCAGGCACTCGAGATGGCACAGCAGGGGACAGTGCGGGGACAGCTGGGCTCCTTGTGCCCACAGAGATCAGATGAGCCTCAGGCTTCAAAGGAAGCCCCAGCAGCTCTGTGGTCCTTAGGACCCTGCAAGGCCATGTTTGGGGTGGTTGCAGTGTGGCAGGCCCAAATTAAAAGCCAGTGCCTGTGCTGACCTGCCCCATGAGTTTTGTTTCTTTTCTCAGCCCACAGACAGCTCACCACACAGCTGTGGCAGCTGCTGAGGACAGAGTCACGCCTCTGTCACCCTCTGAGGCTGCTGGCACTTCGGAGCCCAGCGCCAGCTATGCTGGTCCCCAGCCGAAAATTACTCATTCCTAATGAGTCAGGAGCTGGGCTCCCACTGGCACAGGAGCACAGCTTTGATCCTGTGGGCAGGACAGACAATGACCACAACAATGACTTATGATCCAGTGAGGAACAAAATGTGTCTATAAATCAGAGCAACCACATGGTAAAAAACCCATTAAAAATAATTGGAATTAGCTGTCGCATGACCCTAGAAACCAGGACACGAGACTTTTATGTAAACAGTCTTGTTTTCCATAGGAAGGTGGCAGCTCTGGCTGAATTCAGTCCAGGATGGCTGTGGAGAGCTCCAGCTCCTGCCTCACCAAGCCGAGAAGCAGCATTGCTCCACTAGGTGAAAGGTTTCCATGTTATTTTCCACTGCTGGCTGGTGGATCCCCAGGGTGTGTGGCGAGGCTGTTTGCAATCATAACAAGTGGCTGCACGCTGCCTTGGTGGGGTGAATCATCTCCCCAGGGTGGCTCGTGCCCATCTATCGCCACTGGCACAGTGGTGGCCCTGTGGCACGGTCCATGAGCAGTGCCCAGGGCGCCATGGGCATGGGAGGGCAGGCGGATGCCAGCTCCTGCAGTGGGAGCTGCTGGTGAGGAAGGCCTTGCTGTGCCCTGAGCTGTGCCACTTCAATAACACAGAGCTACCAAAATTCACTCCCCAGCACAGGGATAAGGTCTCGGCTCACCTCGGTTTGGAAACAGCAGCTCTGGGTGAGCTCAGGGGTGAGTAACTCCCCTGGGCACCACCTTGAGCAACTGCCCCGTCACTCTCCAGGGGCTTCATTGCACAACCTGGGGCAAACACAGCAACAATGCTCCTGCCTTTTAAAACATCATAAAGCAAGACCTACTTGCCTAATAACAGCCTTAAATAATACTTTATTACCTCTGCTCAAAGTTAATGCATACATTATGTGCATTTTAATTACATCTTTAACTGCTAACAATATGGATGTACTTATTGGCAAAAAACCTTGTTTGGTGGCTGCAATATCTTTATGGGGGATTAACTTCAAAGCCTCATCTTGTTGTCATGCAACAAAGCCTGTATTTCAGATTACCTCTGCTCTCCTACAACCCAGCTCAGCAGCCTCCTTCAAGAAACTGAAAACATCATGAGACATTTTTCCTTGAACTGCCTTGTAGTGGGCAGGCTGTCATGCTTCAAACCACTAGCTGAACGATGCTTACATATTAAGTTGGAAAAGAAAACCCTATCAGAGTCCTGGACCATCAAAGGAATTGTGCCTTGACAGTAATTAATTAAGTAAAACACCTTCCAGAATTATAAATAAAAGTGAGTATCAAATATTTGATTCAAAGCATTTCATGTATCTTTCACACCAAATACTTTTGCCTTGCATTGCACTGAAATGCCAGAGGGTCACACCAGGGCAACTATTGCCATTATACTGGCAGTGAAGCCACTTCCCAAATGACCATGTATGGTCTGCAGCCCTGCTATGAACTTTAGCAATACAAAATGGCTCAAGTGCTTTGCTACTTATTAACTTGAAAGTCCGGGAGACTGTGATGAAATACTCTGCCTGATGGTTGTAGAGCCCAAAGGTAATTTCATTTGCCCAAAGGAATCTACTTTTATGGTGATGGCATCTTTGGGGCTGGCCCTTTCTGGACCTCCCCCTGTCATAGCAGATGTTGACAGAGCAGCAATTTGTGTAGAAATGGTAAAAAATAAGAAACGTGCAACATTTTAAAGCCTGGTACGTGGAAGAGGAGGCCTCTTGCCCAGAAATCAGAGCTGTGGTGGCACCTGGGGAGCACCAGCCTGGGGGTGTTGGTCCCCACATTGCCCCTCACAACCCAACATCACCTCTGCCCATGCTGCCCCTGGTTCCCTGGACCCAATCTCCTCTTTGGGGGAACATGCTAATGGGGATGTCAAATGGGGTAGCAGGGACACCTCAACAGACTGGGGCTCAGGCAGAGCAGAGCCTTTGCACCCTTTGTTGAAATGTCACAGCAGCACTGGTGTCCCCAGCAGTGCCAAACCCCTGAGCAGCACACAGACACCACATCTTTCCTACAGAGAAGAAATGAAGCTTTAGCCAAGCCCCAAGCACCCCATGGGTGCTCCCCACTCATGGAGCATCCTGTGAGTCATTGCTGCCCTTCAAGCCCAGAATAGGCTTCCTCTGCCAAAGTAGAAGGGGATGTGGGCTGACCCCGCAGTGTCTCCCTCCAGCCCTCCCAGGGAGGCACAGGAAACCTCAGAGATCCTCTCAGTCCATCTCTGCCAACAAAAACAATTTTGTAGGTTCCCTACAGGCAGCCAGGGCTGCAGCCAAAAGGAAGCAGCTGTGCCTGAAGGGAGAGGAGAAACTCCCAGATGGCTGCAGGATTCACACCCCACTGTCCTGTGGGCACCCTAAGCAGGCATGTGACACAGGGACACATCTCATCCATCCCACAGCGCCTTCTGGGGAGGGGGAAGAAGATGAAGGGCTGAGTTGCTGCTCCAGAGGTGGTGACACACCAGCCACAGCCCCTCTGCACCCAGGACTATCAGCAAAGCTTCACCAAAGGGCCCTGGCAGCACCTACTCACTGCTAGGAGTTCTCGCCCAAGTTGGCTCCTGCATTCCCCTCAGCCTCCTTAGCTGCCTCTAGTCCCCAGGGATCAGGGAGAGGCTGAGGAGGGGCTTTATTAATGAATGTTCCACGGGTGCTGCTCAGCTGGAGAGACTGTCCCTCACCTGTCATCATTCCAGGTGGGGACAGGAACCCCAGACTGTGTTGGTTTCACCAGCAGCCTCTTGTGCAAGGGCAGCCCTGAACTGTCAGTGTTCACGCACTCACATCAAGCCTGTTTTATGATCTGATAAGGAGCAAAGAGGACACGCACAGAAAGTGCAGCAAACAGGGAGTAAAGTGCTGCAGAAAGAAACATGAGGTCCCTGTGTCACCCCCAGGTCGACTGGCTGCTGTTCATCCCCCTGATAATGCCTGGGGTGGAGGAGAAGGGGGTAACTGATAAGCCAGGAACCCTGAAGATAAACACAGCACTGACAGCCACGGTTCAGGGTCAAAGCCTTCATGGGCATCACAACAAGCACTTGCTCTTTTGATGCCAGGGTAGCCAAAACAAGCCTGATTTTAGGGAGAACTCTGGGTTTTGATGACTCTGACCCTGAAGCTGCAGCTGCTGTCGCAAGTGCTTAGCTCAGGCTGCGCTTTTAGCAAGGTTAAGCTGGAGATTTACACCCCTCCAAGGCTGTCACTTTCCCTCCCCTCTCTCTTTATTAGTTTCTTCCAGAGCCTGTCCTGCCTGGGGACAGCTCCTTGGAGACATAGGCTAGAGGAAGCACCACCTAAGCCCTGTTATTTTGGAGGATCTCCTGCCCACTCCCCAAGTAGCTCTGTTGGTTGGTAAACACTGGGGTAATGTGGTGACGCGTCCCTTGCTGGCAGCCAGTGCTCCAAATTCCAGTAATGCCAAAAGGGATTTGTGGTGCCTATTCCAAGCCTGCAGCACATTCTCTGGAGATCTTGCCTTCCCAGCAAGTCTTGATCCCACTGCTTTCAGCTGTGCCATGTCTTTGGGTGCCCTTCCATGTGCTGTGCTTTGTGCTGTCTCCCTCTGAGCCTGTTCAGTTGGTTCAGCACTGGCAGCCGTGTCCTGGTGCCTCTGGATCTAGACCAGCTTGGGCAGGCAGACTGGGTGCTCCTGGAGATAGGAAGGAGGATGTGGAAGTACCCTGTTAGCACCAGGAGAAAAATTCAAGACACTTAAAGATGTCATTTGGCTTGAACTCTTGTTACACCTCCTGCCTTTATAACTTGATTGAGGGCCAACAAATTTATCTGTGGCTGAGGACTGACACATGGTGGAGGATTAAGGGGGTAGGGGGATAGTTCCCCTGCAAAAGCCACCTCAGGGGACCAAGCAATCCCACCTGCAGCATCCTCACTCAGGTGTTGTTTTAACCAAATTCGTGTGCCCCCTTTGCACCACACAGCATCAGCCAGACTCACATGCACAAACCAAGACTCCTGTGCTGGGGACACTTGGCCAGGAGATTGAGGGGCAGTGGTGGGGCATCATGTATCTGCCCATGGCTGCCTGGCAGTCCCTTCCAATGGGCTCCTGGTGCCCTCCAGAAATCCCAGTCTTTCCCCTGCCCCCTCCCAGACCCTTCCACCATCCACCCCATCCACCTCCTGGTCTTGATCGCTGGCATGGAATGGCCCAGGGAGCCTGGTCCTAGTCTAGCCCAGAGTGGTGCCCAGTCGTGGCAGGCATCCCAGAGCTGGTGTCTCCCTGTGTGGAGGGATGCTGGGTTCTGGTGGAGCTGCTGCTCCGCCAGGATTCCGAGGTTGGCTCAGAAGAGCCTGTTTTCCCCTCAGGCAGAAGTTCAAAGTCTCCATGCTGCTTTGTGGAGATGGAAGTGAGGGGAAGGAGGAAATGGTGATTCCTGTTCATGATTGACACAGCTGACTGCTCAGCCTGACCTCCCAACAAGCCATAGAGGGACGGATGCATAAACACACACACATACGTATTTACAGGCACGCTCGCAGCAACTCATTTTGCCCAGCTCCATGAAGATGCTGCTCTTCTTCTTCTTTTCACTCTTCCATTTCAACCCATCGCTGAGCCTAAAAATCTGCTCCTTCAATGTGAGGTCTTTTGGAGAAACTAAAATAGCCAGACCTGAAATCGTCGATGCTGTGGTAAAGGTACGTTTGTTTGCCTGGATGAGACTGACACTGAGCTTTCTAGGGTTTCTTAGATGCACAATCTTGCACTTTGTTTGCCTTTCACAGTTAAATATCACGTAAAAAAAAAAATTATTTAAAAAATATTGTACTCTTGAAGTAAAAATCAGCCTGTGGTTGAACAGAATGTATGTTGTTATTTTAGCCTTCGTGGGAATATAACAAAAAAAAATATTTGCTGTTTCCTTTGGAAATTGAGTTACGAAAGGAGGAAAACCTCAATGCACAGTAAGAATAATTTTCATTTTGAATCCACAAAGCTTTGTTTTGTGATACATTATTTACCTTCCTTATATGCTAGTTATTCTCAATTATTCTTGACTAATTAAACCTATTCTCAAGACAGCAAATAGTATCTGTCACATTGGAGTCTGGTAGAAATCTGAAAAACCCAATTGCCAATTTCTGTAAGCAAACCCTCACCATCAGGCTGCCTCTGCAAAAGCTGAAGGTAACCCTGGTTTTTAAAAGAGCCACCATTTAGATTTGTAGCTTTGCAAATGCCCTCCAGGACTCCACAGTGAGGGAGGATGTGGAGCTTGGTGTCAGTGAGGTGGCTGTGTGTGCAGAATCCAGTGAGGATGGCACCCTATAGCTGGGTTGTGTTTCTGTTATTGCAATCTGGCAGGAAAGAGCAGTTTGCTTGGCTTTGCATTCCCATTCTTCCCATACTGTCATCACCATGGGCAATGTACACTGAATTTTGGGGTCATGTAGATAATGTGGGGAAGTTTCAGAGGGCAAAGAGGGGCTTTTTTTCCTGACGAAAATCACGCACAAAGTTTAAAGAACAATGAAAGCAGGCACAGAGGGAAGCCCCTGAGAATGTTGGCTTCGAGATGGACTTTCCCACGGAAAATCCCAGCAGTAGCTGTGGGAGCTGAGCCTTCAGTCCCCCTGAGGTGTGCAGTCCCCTGGTGTCAAGACCCTGTTTTCAGACAGGGGTTTTTTTGGGCTCCAGGGGCTACTTCAGAGGAATCTGCAACAAACTGAGACAGGTGAACGCTTCCCGTGGGGAAGGAGTGGGGCAGGGCAGAGGCATCATCCCAGCAGAGATGGTGATGGTGGAATCAGGCTCACAGGAGGGGCTTTTGCTGCCCCTTCCCCTCCACACTTCCTCCTCAGGGTCAGGTGCCAAAGTTTTTCACTAAATCTGAAACTATTCTGTTCCCGGGTTCCCTCTCCCAGTTCCTGCTGGGGCGTGCAGCAGCTCTGAAAGCAGAAAAGCTCCGTTCCAGCCCCTGCTCCTCTCCCACGATGCCAGGCTGTGTGTCCCTTCTTTCACAAAGGACTTCCCCCATGCCTGTAACCACTTCTTTCTAAGCCCTTCCTAATCCTCTAAAACCAGGCGTGTGCAAACTTCCTCCTGCTCCTTCCCCTTGCAGATCGTTTCCCGCTGTGACATTATGCTGCTGATGGAAATAAAGGACAGCAAGAACCGTGTTTGTCCTCTCCTGGTGGAGAAGCTCACCAGGTAGGGTGGCCATGGGCAAATGGACAAATATTGGCCTGTGCTCTGCTCAGTGCCACTTTACTGGGACAAAATCTAAGGTTCTGGCCTCTGTCCCACTGTCAAGGAAGGACCAGACTCCGGCAGTCTCGCTGAGGGACAAGAGCAAAGGCAGTTCCAGCCCACTGTAGAAGATATTTTTAAATCAGTATTACCGGGTTAAATTCAATTTGCTACAGGGAAGTTCCCGAAGGAATAAAAAAGGAAGGGGAAATGCCCTCACCGGGCTGTCATCAGGCTGCAGCAGGACAGCCACCTTCCTGCAGGGCTCGGAACTGCTTTAGATTAGGGATTGCTTGCCTGGACAATTCAGACATCCAGAGGAAACAGCAGCGTTCAGCTGGCTGGACATGATACCCAGCTGAAGGAGAGACAGAGGCTGCAATGAGCAGGGAGACGGTGGAGTGAAGAGCTGGGGTCCAGCTCCACAGAAGGGTTTAGTGTCTGTACCCATCTGCCTCTGAGGTCAGGCAGGCAATGCCCAAACCCCTGGGCACAGGCAAAATTATCTCGCTTCAGCCCCTTGTGAGTGCAGAAATAAACTCAGGAACATCACTTTCCTTCCAGTCAGCTGAAGGGGCCAAAGGAGGAGTACAGGTACGTGGCCAGTGAGAGGCTGGGAAGGAACAGCTACAAGGAGCAGTATGCCTTCCTCTACAGGTGGGTGAACCCCCTTTGCCAACAAGCCAAGCTCCCCCTGCCCTCTGGGGCACAGCTCCTGGAGATGAGCTGGACACGGTGGTGGCTTTGCTGTGAGGAAGCTGGGGAGGTGCAGGCTGTGCAGGTGGGTTGGGCTGGACGTGGGGACCATCCCAGCACAGACACCAGTGTGTCTGCATCCATCCCAGCCCGTGGCCTGGGGTCCAGGCCAGAGCATGGAGTCAGTGTCAGACATGTCCCAGTGTGCCACGAGTGTGACATCCCCTGTCCTGTTCATTCTGCTGCAGGCAAGATCTGGTATCGGTGAAACAAACCTACCAGTACCCTGACACCCAGCCTGGGGATGAGGATGTCTTCTCCAGAGAGCCCTTTGCCATCTGGCTGCAGTCTCCCAAAACCGGTGAGGTGTTTCAGGAATGAGACCTTGTCCCTCTGTGAGCCAGCACAGCCACACTGGCTGCACCCGGGCATGTCAGAGGCTCCAGAGGCTGCATCCAGACCCCACACTGCTTTTCCTTCCAAGAGCAGCATTTTCCCTTCAGGCCTGCTGCCTCTGGGAAATCCCACAGCCCTGCACATCCCTGCTGGGAAAGCCTCTGCTGCTGCCCTGGGCAGTGGGTTGGTGGGTGCATTCCGTGCTGCTGGGAGCAGTGACTGTGTGGGTACTGGGTCAGGATTTGTCTGCACTGGCACAGCTCCTGAGGCCCAGCTGAGTGCCTGGGGAGGGTCACTGTGCAACCACAGAGATCATCCTGGTCTACAGACAGAACAGAAGCTGTTTCTTCCTCAGAAAAAAGACCCCTTGCTTACAAGTCAATCTCTGTTTCTTTGTGACTCATTCTCTGTTTAACCATTACATTTTTCCATTCTTCTGCCGTGTCTTGAAGCTGTCAGTGAGTTTGCTATTATCCCTCTGCACACCAAACCAGACACAGCAGTGCGGGAGATTGATGAGCTCTATGATGTGTATTTAGATGTCAAACAGCGCTGGAAAATCGAGGTTGGTTGCCACATGTGTGTCACTAACAGGGCTTTGGTACTGAGTCACTGGCCACATTATTCATTATTCAGAGCTGAAAACCTTAAACCCATAGATAATGCCCCCCCAGGTTTTGAGTATCTCTTTGGTGTATTTTCATTGAGTTCTCCGCATTTTATACAGTAATCTTGATCACCTAATAAAACTATAATCAGCATGCCCTGATGAGCCCAGCAGAAAGGAGAAGCCCCACTGCATCCATAAAAGTTCTCATTGGTCTTCTTTTGAAAAGCTGTCCTCATGATTACATTTGGAAACCCTCCTACCTTCCAGAACTTCATCTTCATGGGGGACTTCAATGCTGGGTGCAGCTATGTTCCCCAAAAGCAGTGGAAGAACATCCGTCTGAGGACTTACTCCGAATTCCTCTGGCTAATTGGTGACAAAAATGACACAACAGTGAAGAACAGCACCAGATGCCCGTATGATAGGTAAAGGGCTCACTGCCAAACCACCCACTGGTTATGACTCTCTGAGAGAAAAATTGTATCAAAAAGTGTCAGTGACCATCAGAGGAAACAAATGTACATGAGGCCATCAAAGGTAAAACAGTGTTGTGGAGAAATGTGATCCAATTGCTTCTAGTCAGGAGCACAAAGCCCTTTGCAGACCAGTCTGGGTGGGATTTACACAGAACCAGCCATGGCTGTGGCTCAGGTGGGGACGGATGACAGGGCAGCCAGCAGCACTTCTCATCTTTCTCATCTGCAGGGAGCCCTGCAGACACCTGGCAGGAGATGCTGCTGCCTTCTCCATGCCAGCCTTGCACCATGGCTTTTGCTCTTATGTTTGTAATTTGGATTGACAAATGCACAGCGAGGTTCTGCTCGGGGAGGGGAACCTCACCTTGCCCTGGACACGTGGCAAGTGCTGCTGTCACTGCAGTTCCTCGGCAGGGATAAGAACACATCGGCTATCAGAGCCCAGGGCCCTCTTGGAGGACAAGTTTCTGGGTCTGAGCAGGACTTCTCTGATATTCCAGTTGTTATCCTGTGATTTTTGTATCCAAAGCCAGGCTTTGAAATTTGCAGCACTGTTGGGTGGGTTTAGACAGAAGTAATTTAATGTTGGCTTCCAAGGCCAGCACACACCAAGGTATTTATGTGCCTCGCTGCCAAGGAGGCACCTAAAGGAGCTGACATCTCTGGGTGGGCAGTCCATGGGTAAGGACAAACCACACACAGGGAAACTTCATCTCTCTGGCCACCAGCTCAGTGCAGTGTGGCTACCACAGTTTGGGCACCCCATCACAGCACCCCATTCCCTTGCTCCTTGCAGGATTGTGGTCAGTGGACAGAAGCTCATCCAGGCTGTGGTGCCACACTCTGTCAACATCTTTGATTTCCAGGAGGAATTTCAGATGACCCAGGAGCAGGTAGGCACAGCACAGCCTCTGCAGCACTGGGGAAGGGCTGACATGGGAGCTCAGAGCCAGCAGCATCCCGGCAGTGCTGGACACAGACCTGCTGTGAAACCAGGTCACTGGTGGCCATCTCTCCCAAACTGGTGCAATGCTCACATACCACCTCCCCACATCCAAGCACTGCACATCCAGACAGGCTTGGAGAGAGTGTGGGTGCCTCCCAACCCTCTGTGCTGGTGTCTTGCAGGCGCTGGGAGTGAGTGACCACTTCCCGGTAGAATTCGAGTTAAAAGCAAAAGGTGGCTTTTTCAACTGGCTGAGATCAAAGTTTTCAAGGAAGGGGAGACCAAAGAAGAGCCACCGATCGAGATCATGAGCATGCTGAGTCCTCCTACATGGCATGGAAATACACAGATGCCAACAGATCTTGTGTAAGAGTGGTGTAGAAATACTCACAGCAAGTGCAATATTTGGTGGGTAAAAATCCACAAATATTTTGTTAAAGTTCGAATATTTTCAGTAAGAAGGTGAATTAAACCTTCACGCTGTTTTTTCTTCATTGTATACAGAAATAAATCAGCTAGAAGCAGCACACTGTACTTACTATGCTGGTCACAAATGTAAGGAGCTACTGCAGGGCTAAAATACTTCTGTGTGCTTTACCTGCATCACCTGAAGGGCAGGGAGCTCCACATGTTCCCACGGGCTTTGGAGCTCTGCCATTCCTCTGCAGGGGCAGAAGGATTAAAAGGACCTTTTTTTGCATCATGTGTGTGTGTGTCTGTGTGTTTATCCTTCAGAGCTGCAACCAGCGGGGACATGAGGCGGTACCTGGTGGTTTACAATGTAGAATACTGCTGAATTTAATGTATTTCTCAGTGAGGGGTTTAAATTGGTCACAGCATCCAGGGATTTGGGAAAGACAGAAAGAAAAGACAGAGGGACAGACAGTGAAAGCCCCTTTACTGCACTGCCCTAGCTCAGGGCAGCAGGAAGCTGATAGTTCTCAGCCCTGCCCACCTGCAGACCTCAGGTGAGATGTCCTAGGGATCCCAGGTGATGCTGCTGCCAACAGAGTGTCATAAAACTCACATCAAAATCTGATTTCAGCATTCTGACATGGAAGTGAACTGCATCCCCTCCTCCAAAATAAAAATCTCCATGGCAGCCCAAAGCCCTCTGATGAAGCAGACTTTAATGATGATTATTTAATGTAATGGCGCAGCAATCTGTTTTCCTAGCTCAGCCCACAGGCTGTATTTAGTGCAAACCAAACCCTGTCACACAGATGGCATCTCGAGAGTGGGAATAATCCAACTGTTAGTAAAGACAAACGTTCATCTCCCTTCATCAATGCACCCCAGGTTGCCTGCTGAAGGGGCAGGCAGGGCAGGTGAGTGAGGGAGGGAGGCTTTGTGGGGAGGAAAACAGTTTGGTCTTTGTGAAACACACTGTTCAAGGAGAAGAATTTGAGGAAAGAAAGTCAGGAGAAAATTATCCCAGGGAGTTGTGTAAGGCAGACAACAAATCCTCCAACTTCTAGTAGCAATTAAACTTGAAATGATACAGCATTTTATATGCTCCCTCACTTAGACTGCAGTCAACACAAAGAAAAAAGCCTGATTTAGAACATTTATATTGGGATTTTTATAGAAATGCCACTGCATGGCTGACATCAGTGATGGTTCATGTGAAGGCTGAAATCAGTCTGAGTCTCTGGCCTCACATCTTGCTTCTATGTAAGCACTTTCTGTCTCCTGGCTTTCAGAAAGGAGCAGTGCACAAAGAAATCACCCTCCACAAAAACAATAATGGGCACATTCAGTCATGAAAAAATATGTAATTACAGCTATTTTTTACTGGAAATATTTATCCTTATTTGCAATATTTGCTATAGCCCTTTATCCGGCACTTGAAAATAAGAGATGTGGCCAGAGAGCAGCCAGGGGAGTGATGTCAGTGGCTGTCGATCCAGAGCAGTGTGCTGGGTTTGGCTGGGACAGAGTGAATTCTCTTCACAGGAGCTGTGTCTTGGATTTGTGCTGAAAACTGTGTTGATAACATGAGGATGTTTTTGTTGCTGCTGTGCAGCACTTACGCAGAGTCAAGGCATTTTCTGTCTCTCACACCATGGGTGAGTTGGCTGGGGATGCACAAGAAATTGAGAGGGGATGCAGCTACCACAGCTGACTCCCACTGACCCAGGGATATCCCATATCAAATGGAGTTCTGCTCAGCACTCAAACCTTGGGGAAGAAGGGCTCATCTTGCAGAGATGCTGAGCTTCTGACCCACACAGAGATATCTTAATGCAAAATGATGCTCCTCCATGGAGAGCTGTGGGATTCATAGCAGAGAGACAGCATCTGCACTCACATTGCATGTTTGATAAGGGCTGGGAGGTGTCCCAAACTCCTACTGTCAGCACAGTCTGTCTCTCTAGATATTCATTGGACAATATTATAATTACATCCTAAAATACTTCACAGTTCATGTCGTCTCTAGATTTTCCCCCCTGGGGATCAATACCCAGCTGTCCCAACTGCAAAGGGGATTTTAAGTTGTTCCAGCCTGCAGGAGCCTCAGTATATTCTGCAGCCAGAACAAAGTTTCTCTTTTTGATGAATAAGGCTTCTTGAGCTTTATTTATGGTCAAACAGAAGTTTTTCACTGGGAGTCCAAAATTCCTGGAGAGACTTTGTCTCATGCAAGCCAGATCTCAGATTGTGGCTGGGAGAGAAACAAAGAGGCTCTTCAGAAGCGGGAAAGTGTTTTCTCCCCAGCACCCTGTTCAGGCGAGAGCACAGAGCAGAGAGGGTTCAGCTGAACAAAAAGTGCCAAGACCCCCAATCCCCCAGGCTGGGGTCCTTGGGAAGCCCTTCTCCAGTGCATGGTACTGGAGGCATCATCCTCACTTCCCACAGACCCACAGAGACCCTCCCCAGCCTACCAGAGGTCTCACTGCCCCTCACCTCACAGAAACCCACACAAGGAAGGTTTTTACTGCCCTGGGGGTGTAAGTCTCTTGGCAGGGAAACCCCCAGGAACCCACAGCAGCAGCCCAAAGCAGGGCTGCCTCTTCTCTACAGCCTCAATTATTTGTGCTGGATAGGTTTGTCCATCTGCACCTTCACCTGAAGAGGGCTCATGTCCTCGTCCTGGCCTTGGCACTGCTCCCCACTGACCCCCAGCCCTGACACCTCTCTGCCTGTGCCACAGTGAGAGACCCCTTGGCCTGGGGCAAGGCTCTGCCCTTTTGCCTCTTTTGAGCTACTGGTAGCAATGAGGACACAGGAGAGCTGATACAGGGACCCACAGGGACCCACCTGGCTTCTTCTTTTGGGGTCTGCACCTAATATCCAATCTAAACCTCCCCTAGTGCATCTTGAGGCTGTTTCCTCATCCAGTCACTTGCTACCTGGGAGAAAAAGCCAACCCCCACCTGGCTACACTCTCCTGTCAGGTGTTGTAGAATGATCTGGTCCCCCCTGGGCCTCCTTTTCTCCAGGCTAAACACCCCCACCTGCCCAGTAGCTGACTACTCCTCATAAAACTTGTGCCCCACACCAGATGTACACATGTCCAGATGTTTGGTCACATACAGATGTGCAGCAAACAGCTGAGCTGCAGCCCCCAGAAGGGCTGTGTTGCGCTGTCACACAGCAGGGCCGGTAGCACTGACAGCAAAACCAAAGGCAGGAGAATCAAAGAGCCTACCAGTGTGATAGCAGCAGCTGGTCCAAGCTTGGCTGTTTCATGGCTCCCTCTGGAAGGATTGTGGGAAGCACACGTGCCCAGGCTGGAGCTGGACACTCACTGACCAAGCATCTGCCACGGAAAATGCCCACGAGTGGAGCAGGGGCTTCCTGGGGCACGAGTGCTCATGGGGCCCTCCAGGGGAGCTTCCCTCAGCGCCCTGCAGCCCTGGGCTCAGTGGTCCTTCTCCCTTTCTCGCTCTCTCCCTTCACTCCCAGCAAGCCCGGGAGATGGAGAGCAGGAGGTGAGGGCAGCACTCATCTTTCTCTTTCTTACCTCTAGTCAAAAGAAAAACAAATTTAAAAATCACTTTCCCCCCTCCATCTGTGGGTGGAAAAAAGCACCCGCAAGCTCCCCCAGCTCCCTGCCCAGAGCAGCGCGTTTTCCCTGCGGCAGGGCTCCAGCCGGGCCGGGCACACACGAGCCATTGTCAGCTCCCCCTCTAGCGGCATCCCTGAGCTCCCCAGCTGCGGAATTCCCCTGCAATTCACACCCGGAGCCCGCAGCAAACTCAGCCTCGGCGAGGAAAAGGAATGTCACCTCCTCAGCTGGGATCTCATGGATCTGCATCACCCCATTCCACACACACCTCTTCACTCACTGCAGACAGCCCAGGGCTGACCCCAAGGAGTCCCTGGGCCCACTCTGTTCCTAAAGGAGTTTTACAATAAAAAGGGAGCTCTTTGTTGGCTTGAGGTCTGGTTTTTCATTGCCCACAGTTATTTAACTGGGAAACGTGGCAGGTTACAGAGCACATCCACCCCTGGGACCCCTTGGTGTCCCTGCCATACCTGCACCAGGAGCACAAGGGCTGCTGGCTCGGTGACCACAGCCTTTCCTGCCTGTCCAACCCCTTGGGATGTCTTCCAGTGACTGTGCTTCTGCTCTTTGGTGGCTTATACCTGGTTTTGGGAAAGAAGTGAGGCCGTTTTGGCACCAAGGCCTCCATTCCCTCTCTGTAACAAATGCCACCGACCCCTTTTCCAGTGCCAGGGAAAACTGCAATCAATTTGGATCAGAGGCTCTTTCTGCAACCACAGAATCATAGAATATCCTGGGTTGAAAGGGACCCACAAAAATAATTAAATCCAACTCCTGACCCTGCACACAGCAACCCCAAAATTCACATCATGTGCCTGAGAGCATTGTCCAAAGGTTTGTGAACTGTGGCAGGCCTGGGGCCATGACCACTTCCCTGGGGAGCCTGGTCCTGTGCTCATCTACCCTCTGGGTGAAAAAACTTTTCCTAATATCCAACCTTAACCTCCCTGAGCTGGGTTTAGCCCTCTCCATCATCCTGGGGGTTCAGGGACACAACCTCTGCACTCTCACCTGGTATAAAACCACAAGTGCCCTTTCTCTGCAGGCTGGTTTTCCAGCCAGTGTGAAAAACAAGGTTAAATACTTTGTGTGCCATTTTAAATATAGAGTCTCAGCTGTCAGTGTTTGCAGGGGCAATTTTCTGGTAGAGAGAAGACAGATTTATAAGAATTAATTTCCATATTGGCAAAGTAACAAAACCTTCCCTGAAAAGCTCTGCAAATGCTGGCATTGAGGTATGAAGGCTTTCTGTGCCTCTCTGTTGGGAGGAGAGCCTGACCCCAGCCATTTTTGGGGAAGCCAGATGCAAAATCCCACCCCCCAAACAAAACACCCTAGCTGGACATCACTGTCAGAAGAAAATACCCACCCTGGCAAGGCCAGCTCCTCCATGGGG